TGCCATGATGTCCTGCCTCACCTTGGGCCCTGAGGAGTGAAGTTGACCATCTATGGACTAAGAGCTCAGAAAATGACACCTGAAATAAACTTTTTCTCCTTAAAATTGTTCTTGTCAGGTCCTTTGGTCACAGAAGCAAAAACACTCATGAAAACACCCCTCTTCCTCCTTCTCCTGCATCTGTTATATCCTTTGTTTCTCTTATCTGCTCACAACATTTTGGTCCCAGAACCTCATTCTTATTTAGTTAATTTTCTTCCTTCTCTTTCTTACCCAAAACCAAGTGTCCTCTTCTTGCTTTCTTTACCCCACACTCAAGAGCAGCAGTCATATTTTGTGCAATCCAGGGAAAAGTGAAAATGTGGAGTGTTGTCCTAATCATTCCTGCTGCAATCACAGCATGCCATAGACTGAGCAGTTTATAACCATGAGGAAATTATTTTTATAGAGTCTGGACAGTTCAAGATCAAGATAGATTTTGATTGTAGTGGGACCTGCATTTAGGTTCATAAAAGACACTTTCAGAATATTTCTTCTCATGGTGGAAATGCTATGGGGCCTCCCTGGGGTCCCTTGTATTAGGCACTAATCTGATTGCTGAGGTTGAAACTSCATGACCTAATCACCTCCCAAAGCCTCCCCCCTCCTAATACCATCATATGGTTGGTTAGGTTTCCAATGTATGAACTTGGGGAAGACACAAAGATTCAGATCATAGCAGGTCTCTGCTCAAATTGCTCTTCAAGAGAGTTCTCTTAAAGTTACTAACATGCAAAACTTCTTCATTTCTATGAAAAGTTACATGGCTGTTTTTATTTTCCTGTTTTTGCATCCCTTGGGCACAGGGATACTGTCAGGATGATTGCAGGAACTCTTAGGCAACAGAGTTCTGGGGCTCACTTTATGATGACATGCAAGCTACCCACTTGGTGCCTGGTTTCTGCTGCCCCAGCTGTTCTAGTGATCTCTGCCTGTGCTGGACTGAAAGGGGAAGTTAATCTCCCTTTTCCCAAATGGTCACCCCAACACTTTTCACATAGGTAACCACAGAGAAACTAGAACCAAATTATGTGGAAATTCATGTGACAGTTGGAACAAGAGTGGGCAAGTGGCTCACCCTGACCAAGTTCAAAACAATTTGGTGAGGACTCTGGATGGGATAGCTGCACCTCCGTTTTGCTCCCGCACTCATAGGTGCATGTCCCCTTCTCCCTTTGTGCCTGCAACACATGAGGAAGTTGCAGAGGCTGATGGCAGAAGGGGCCTTCAGTGAGACATGGTCAGTGYAGTGGTGGCAGGATGGAGGTGGATTGACAGACTCTAGAGTTGCCATGGTCTGAGACAGTGGGGAGCAGGTGGAGGAGTGCTGAGCATGTAGGTGAGGTTGTGGGGGGAAGAACCCTTCATAAGCTGGGGAGGCAGCTATGAGCTCCCATGCAAGTTTCATTGAACTTCACTGTGAAACACAAATTCAATAAAATTACTATGAAACTCAAGGTGCTAATCATGGAAATTTAAGTGCATTACTGGAGTGGCTGCATGCTAACAGAGCCAGCCCTGGATACAGGATCCCAGACTCAGTAGGTAATACTGTTTCAGAGGACAATCATAGGGGATTTTGAAAAGGGAAATAAAGTAACCAGTGATGTCAGAGATATGAATGAGGTGGAGTGGGGGATGGGGTAGGCAAGAGAACACATGGGGGATAATTCAAAATTATTACAATAAGAGAAAATGCTTAAGATCCTGGGTTCCACACGCAGCAAAAAAAGAAGTGCCCCTTGTGGTAAGGGACTTTTCAGAGACACACAAGACTTGTTCCATAGCAGTTGAACTAGGAGAAGATGAACAGGGTGGATGTTTGTAATAATGAGAGAAGTTGGAAGACTGGGCACAGAGTCAGAATATCAGGGGAAATGGGAAACTGAGTAGGTGCTCAGGGTTTGGGGAGGGAGCAGATTGTCTTTGTTTCAGGCAGAAAAGTTTTGTGTTTTGTTTGAATAAGGAAGTCAGAAGAGAGGTCCCTGTGGTAGGTTTATTTAGAACAGAAATCAAAGGACGACTTCTCTGAGAGAAAGAAGTAGCATCTGCAAGGGCCATGCTGTTCCTGCTACTCCCCTTGCTCGGTGTTCTTTTCCCAGGAGGGGACAGTGATGTTGGTAAGAACTGGGGCATCTGACCAGGTGTGTGTGTGTGTGTGTGTGTGTGTGTGTGTGTGTGTTGATGGTAGTTTCCCCTGCACATACCTGGAGAGAACGAGGGCCAAACTGGCCCCATTCTGCATGTTCTTACTCAAGCCCTCTGTGATTTCATGGAGGCTGTTGGTAGAACATGGGACCCTGGGGGCCAGCAGATGTCAGCTAAGGTAACTGTGGCTCTCCACTTTTCAGATTCTGAATCTTCCTACTGGGGCACCTACTTTCCCAAATCTCTCCCTCCCAATGTTTTATTTCTGCCTATTCTATCTATTCTTTTGCCACAGGGTTTGAGGATCCTGTTTCCTTCCATCTCCTCCAGACATCAACCTTTAACAACCATTCCTGGGTACATCAGGGCTCAGGCTGGTTCGGGGAGCTGCAGACTCACAGCTGGAACAGGAGCTCTGGTACCATCATTTTCCTGTATCCCTGGTCCAGGGGCAACATCAGTAACAAGGAGTTGATGGATCTGGAAAGGCTGGTCCAGTTATACTTCAATGAACATCAGGACTTTTATATTTCTCAATTAATGTTTAAAGGTGAGTCCCTGTCCCTTGTTGGGGAGAATAAAGGGATGAGAGTGGGGCATCTCAGTGAACTTTTATTCCTCAGGGAAACAGCCTATTCTTCTCTGAATCTTACTCTGTTCTCTTCAGCATAAAATTGCAATCACACCCTGGGCATGCGCGATAAACACAACCAGATTTTCAAAAACTTCAGTTTTTGCTACTTATGAACTGCTCTCTCTATTGCCTGCAGGGCTATGTTTTATTATCTGCCCTTAGAGGAATGCTGTGGCCACCCTTTTCTTCAATCTTCAATTAGGTACCTTCTGCTACCCCACTCTTTGGTTGACTCCTTAAAGTGTGATTTTTCTCTCCCATTTAATCTCTTCAATCTTCTAAACTGTCTAAACTGTCATAGAAACCATTCAGTCCTTCTCCCCACACCATCGMTATCACCTTTGAACAATCCCCTCCCTTCCTCATATTATCATCTCTTCCTCCACCTCCAGCTCCTACCAGTTCCCCTTTCTGTGAACCTCAGACCAAACCACACTGTGGTCCATCCCCTAAACTCCCAAAACTCCCTTCTGCTTCTATTGCTTTCATCTCATTTATTTTTGTCCTTTTTCTTCCGTTTCTCCTCTAATTCATTACTCTTCTTCCTCAGGTCCTTTTGATCTACAGGTGGCAGCAGACTGTGAACGGCACTCTGGGAAGGGCTTCCTAGGCTTTGTGCAGGTAGCTATCCAAGGACATGACTTCATAAGCTTCCAGAATGAAACATGGTCACCATATCCCATGGGGGGAAGAAAGGCCCAGAAAGCCTGCAATCTAATCAATCTGAACCAAGTCTACACAAATAGGAAACATTGGCTCCTCAGTTATGCCTGCCCACGTTTAATCTCAGAACTTCTAGATGGAGGGAAAGCTCATCTCCAGCGACAAGGTCAGTCTTCTATCCAGTCTCGAAGAATTTTCATATTTTAAAATGAAATTCAGGATAAAAAGTGACTGATGAGTGAAAATACAGAACTAGGAACGATATGTATTTGTAGGCTTATGTGGAATTCTAAAGTTCTCAGTCTATGTTAGTGTCTAAATGTCTTTTCTGGTGTTTGCAGTGAAGCCTGAGGCCTGGCTGTCCAGTGGCCCCAGCCCTGGGCCTGGCCGTCTGCTGCTGGTGTGCCACGTGTCTGGCTTCTACCCAAAGCCCGTGTGGGTGATGTGGATGCGAGGTGAGCAGGAGCAGCTGGGCACTCAGAGAGGTGACATCCTGCCCAATGCTGATGGGACGTGGCATCTCCAAGCAACCCTGGATGTGGCAGCTGGGGAGGCGGCTGGCCTGGCCTGCAGGGTGAAGCACAGCAGCCTAGGAGGGCAGGACCTGGTCCTCTACTGGGGTGGTAAGAGCTTGACCCAGGCTGGAGATGGGATGAAGGGAACTTCTAGCAGAGCATGAGGACCAGGTAAAAAATTGGGATTCACAAATTCCAGACCTAAAAAGAAGAAAAATATGTAATTCAAAGAATGGATAGATTTAAAATGAGGGATCTATAGATGCAGATTGAAACAACATCCTGGTGTCCACTTGAATCTGCAGCACCTCAGAGTGCCCTGGGCTGGATCCTCTTTGCTGTGATAGTGGCCCTGGCTCTTCTGACAGGTCTTGGATTTTGGTTTAGGAAACGCTGGTGAGTGCTTTATATCCATCTTTCCTGTTCATCCCTCCTCCCCAATGGTCTTCCCTTTTTTTAAAAATTTTTTCCTCACTTTTCCTTGTCCCTTTATCCCCATTCCCACTTTCTGCTCAATTCTCACCTCCACCTTCTAAAGGTCTGTTCTTTTTTTGTTCATGTAGGACACACTGTGAAGCTCCCTACAGTGTTTGCTCTCTCTGAAGTGAGGACCCAGCTACCCAGGTGCCCAGTCTACACATGAACACCACAGGGTGATGACATCACTTCAACTCCCCTTGTTAAAACTTTGCTATTCATTTCTGCACCATGATCATTTACCAATATGTGCTCAATGTAATCTTGCAGGATTTGTTGTTCTGACCTGGTTTCTGTGGGTTTAACTCTGAATGGAACAGAATTTTAGCAGTGTCAGCCTGGTTAGATAAAATGGATCATCAGATGCATTTCAGCTATCACATCCTCCAGGGGTCCTTCCTTGATCCACAGTGGGGAGCCATCTCTCCTCCATCTGAGCATCTCCACATTTCAGCTGTGCCCCTCACTGCCTAGCATCTGTGGCAGGTGTGTAGATTTGTTTCTTCTTTTAAGTTTTTAAAAGTTTGAGAGCAAAGCACATGCTTTATGAATATCTGCATCTTTGGTGAACTGTCTGGCCTGAATGCAACATATTTTCAATAAAACCTGTGTTGAATTATGTAAGGTTTGTAGKTTTTGTTGTTGTTTGTTTGTTTTGTTTTTTAAATTCTATTTTTATACCTTTGGTATAGTTGAGATATTTGATGCTCTTCTTGTTCAAAGTCTTGCTTTGCCAGGAGACTTCATGCATTCCTGGTTTTATTTATTTATTTCTTCTGAGTCTCTGATGAGAAACACAGTTTTGCCACTTAACAATTCTGTTATTCAATTTTGGGAAATATTAGCATAAAACCATTGTTTCAAGTGCTCTAAACCAAAAGAGCAGGGAAGGATGAAGGTCCTCCATATTCAGTGTGGTTTATGGTCAAATAGCAGATTCATTACATTGGAGTGTGGTAGAAATGTAGACTCTGTGGCCTGGTCTCAGACTTAYTGAATTCCAGTTTTCATTTCAACAAAATCATCAGAAGACTCACAGATACATTRAAGGTTGAGAGGGACAGCATGGTGGTGATACCTGAAATATGGCCCAAGGGCATCTCTGAAGAGGGAATCAAAAATGAGTAGTGAAAGTGCTGCTCTTCAAGATTGAAGTAGGTCCAGATAAGTAATGTGAATAGTGAACACTGAGCCATGTTCCTAGGGTAAATAGACGGTTAGGTACCTTTGAGTTTCTGGCACAATATTTTTGTTACCTGATGAATTCATAATCTTGGCTTTATGTATTTTGTTTAAAAATCATATTTAATATATATTTACAAGTAATTCATTGCATGCCATACTTCTTTAAACAGAAACATTATAAGAGAAGTATTTAACAGTTTCCTGACCCTGATTGATGTGACCACAAATTTCCTAGCCTCTCAACCTTCCTACATTGCTGTCTACCATATGTAAAAAGAAAAAAAAAAAAAACAACTGTTGTCATCTCACGAAAACACAAATATGGTTGTTTGTCTGTTTGTCATAGCTTTATCATAGTATTATAATAGTCTCTTTATAAATTATGTCACCTACCAATCATRAAATTTTATCTTTCTTTTTCCAGCGCATTGCATTGCTTATTAACACTGAACTCTCAGACAACAGCAGTATAACTATAACAAAGCTGATCTAAAATACCTTCTTCCTGTGTAATACACATCACAGCCTTCTTCAGTTTATGAACATTAGACAGCATGCTAGAGATGTGTTTGGGGTCATTTTAATTGACAATATCAGTGACAAAGAGCACAAAAGTTTGAAAAACACGGCACTCCGTAGGCCACACACAGGATGCTTGTCCTGCAGTGAGAAGGGAAACCTGAAGACAGAGCTTCACTTTTTTGACTTTCATAGGGAATGTGTTCTTCATTTGACTCCCATTTTGCAGCACTCTGTACATATCTATGAATGACTGCAAAAGCACTGTCAGTACTTAATTTGGGGTTATAAAAGTTTCCACAGGTCGACCAATTAGAAATCCTGACTAATGGGAATTGACTAATGAACCCAACTGACAGTGAGAGGTACGTCATCTATGACCAGACTTCAGTTACTTTAAAATTCATAAGCTGATGTAACAAACAGTTCTTAGGCACATACTATATACTTACTGTGCAGCAGGTGCATATTGAGTATAAAGTATTGGATGGATAAACGATCATCACTGTGTTCTCAGCTTGAAAATTTTGCCTACCCAATTTGATTCTGCAGTTTAGTATTTTCATTGTTTTTTTTTTCTTCTTCTTATCTTTCTGGAAAGACTTACTTGAAATGAATTTGGGGAAAGGGACTTAGCTTTATTTTGCTTAGGCAGCTGAGAAGAGGGAACCCAGGAAAAGGGGAACATCTAGACAGACCAGGTGCAGATGACATAGCACCTGTAAGAAATTGTCCCATGGATTTTGTCCTGAAAATTCATCCCTGCATTCTCTTGTCCTTTCTTCATTCATCACACATCTAGTTTTTACTATTTGCATGGAAACATATTCACTGAGAATAGTTTCAAAATGAAATTATGCTTGATTAGATTACAAATGCAGTGTGCAGATCTTATTTAAAGCTGACCATAACTTGGGGAAAATATAGGGGAAATTTCCCAGATTCAGACAAAGTCCTCCATGTACAGCAAAGTTTCATCTACAAAGCTCCCTACACCAATATATTTTACTTAAAAGCACCAAATTGGGTTTGGCTGTTCATATTAAAGTAGCGGGTAAAGAAAAATATTTCCAACAGACAAACAGCTGTCATTGCAGGTGAGTATTCTACATCAGGCACCAGCATCTCAATTTGGAACAGAGAGAAACAGCAAATTTTCTTTTAAAATCCTGCTGACACTTGTAAAATGTTTATATTTCACCACTAGGTGGCGTGGAGAGCTAAACAGTTAACCAAGGCT